AATAAAAGTCAGGGGTGAGTACTAGAGAGCTAACGTCTCTTATCCTTTCTGACAGTGTACCATTCTTATACAGAAGTTAATCAAACCTGCTTTGTGGGCGAGGGACACAAGTCCATTTTTAAGATTTTACTTTAAAAGAAAATGTCATTGTATATTATGGTACCCATGTGACTAAAAAGAAACTAGCAAGATTAGTCTTTATAATAACGGAAGGCTATAGCTTGAGAGCAATTATTTTTTCATGAAACATATTTGATTTAATATAAACATGAATTTGTGCTTTTAAAGTAGTCCATAGGCATGCCTGCTGAGAATTACTTAATGCTATCAATTACAGGGCTTCCTACATACAGCCATAGGCATTTAAAAGAAATTCATTCAAAAGCAAAAGACTCACACCAGTAATTTGGTGTATTGACAACCTGTTCTTTTTCTAATTATGCTAATCTACACAATTGTATCTCTTAATGGTTTTTTTGCTACCCTCAGTGAGGTTATTAGTCTGGTACTACTTGAGTAATTTCATGGCCATGGTAAAAAAACAACAACAAAAAACAGCCATGAGAAGAAACAAATTGAAAATTACTCCAGAAAAATATCTTTCCATCTGTAAGTGATAATTTTAAGGTATAAATAACTTAACTATCCTTAACTTTGTAGCTGATAATGGTTTAGCTTATTAAATCTGAACGATTTTCAAAACTAATAAATATAACTTGATGATCACCAGACAAATGGAACAACTTTATGACCTAAACCCCCACTTCTCGTGTTTTGTTTGGTCCAATATCTTCTCCCTGTGTTTTTGTGTGAAGCAGCCCAATGACAACACAAGTGGGATAGGACACCTTTTCCCAAAGTCCCTTGATCAAGACTGAGGAAGAGATGTATATGTTCTAGAAACTTCTTCAGAACTTCTCCTTAGAGTTTGCTCAGTTCTTTGAATAAAGCTAACTGTAATCAGTTATGTTGGAAAGATTTATTTAAAAACAGAAAATAGTATTAAAAGAATTACTTTAGCATCTAGATTTGCATTTCTCATAAGCTAACAAGATAAGACGTTCTCAGCTTACTTGCAGAGAAAACAGAAAAGTGAACAGCTTATGTTTGCTGAAAATGGTCTCCTCTATTTAACCACTTTGGCCATGCTGTCAGCTTTCCTTGCTAACTGGATACCATCTTTTTGCTCTTTTCATTGTCCTGGGGGGACTGTGCCAATTTATAGATTCAGACTTCAAGGCCAGAAGGGATCATCATGATCATCTAATTGGATCTCCTGCACATTGCAGACCACAGAAACTCATTACCCACTCTTATAATAGGCTCATATTGAGCTACTGAATTCCTAAAATTACTCCTTTGATCTAAAGAATTCAAGTTACAGAGAATCCACCATTTATTCTAAGTTTGAACTAGAGATGTAACCTCCGATTTAAAATGTTAACCAGTTAAGCTATATGTTTAACTGGCCCACCACATCATGCTATGGCAGGAGTGGGGGAGGCTGAGAGACATAGGAGCAGTCTTTATCTATGGTGTGGCGTGGTGGGCCTAGCTGGTGTGGGCTAGCTCCTACCCACAGAATGGTGAGACCATCAGGGCATGGCCTGCTGCACTGCGCTGCAGGCGGGGGGGCTGCTCCAAGGTTAACCAGTTACCCCTTTACATTGCTAGTTTGAACTGGCAAGTGGCTTCAGCCCCATGTTGAAGAGGAAAGCGGGGGAAAACAAAAGAAACCCAGGATCTCTGCAAGTTTTCCTTTCATTAAGGGCCACAATCCCCTTTCAAACAAATTTTATATTTTCCTCTATGGCCTTCTCTACACTATGAGAGTAAGTTGTCCTATGTTATGCCACCCCAGCTATGTGAATAATGTAACTGGAGTTGTAACTTTAGTTGATTTACGCCAACATCTATACCATGCTGCTTCAACAGGAGATGCTCGCCTGTTGATTTACCTTGTTTGTCTTGTTACGGTGGAGTACTGAAGTCAACTGGAGTGTGCTCTGCAGTTGATATAGCAAGTCTATCAACTCTCGCTACATCGACTGCAACAGCATTGATCCCCAGTAAGTGTAGATGTGGCCTAAGAGATGGCTCATGGGAGATGATGATGAATAGCCATCTTTCAAAGGCTTAACATTTTAGACCCAATTCACAAACTAATCTGCATATCTAGCCTAGCCAATTTGTGTATTATTCTTCCAAAGAAGGCAGAAGATCATTTTCCACAATATTGACCTTGACCTTTCTTATTTGCCATTGTTTATTAGGAACAGAGGTCCAGATACTTTATTATTCTTTCATCATACTAAGTTTGTTTAGACAGGAGGCAATCAAGCACAATGCAAGATTTTTATACCTTTCAGGAGGTTCTTTATATCCATTTCCTATGACTTCCTGGGTATTTGTGGCATCTCTAGAAGCAGCAAGATAAAACTGCCTTTCAAAGGCTAGTTTTGATTTTTATTCACAGCAGTCTTCAAAATGGAAGAGGAGGGAGGAGATCTCATGAACACGTAGAACACACAATGTCTTCAGATGTTCCTCTCCTGCTCCCAATAAAAAGGTGTCTATAAATATTCCCAGATGGTTCCCAGCTTTTCATGTGGTCTCCGGATACAGCTTTCTTCAGCCCTTAAGATCTCTTCAGCAAAATCATAGCCTGTACAGATCTAATTCTCTTTTTCACTCCTTGATTTCCACTGGCTCCTCCAAAAAGGGAAAATAGCCTCAAGCTCTAAAACAGGATTTTAACCTTAGGGATCTCCAGAAGGGTTTCTCCATAAGTTTGGTATTACATTGCAAGAAACTGTTTCTCTTGGTAATGAAATTTGAATGTAAGAAACGGAGAATTCTGCAGGGCTTTTCCTGATTCATGATGGGGACAGACAAGGGAATAACTTATTTTTATTCACTTCTCTGCTCAGCAGATTATGGAAGTGGCCTAACTCCAGAAATCTAACTCCTAGATCTGCTCAAAAACTCTACAAATTCCCTAAAAAAAAAATTGTCTTTTTCCAAGTGGATTCAACAGTAAAAGCATGATTGAAAAACGAAAGAAAAAACTACCCTCCTTGGAGAATCCCATTAACAGGAATTTGGAATTGGGGAAATACAAACTTTTCTGCTTGCCTAATTGCAGCTCTGTTTTGTGTTGTGCCTTGGTTCTTATCCCTTCTGTCTCAATGCTGACATATCATTTATCTTTCTGTCAGAGTTATGAACATTTTCTACATTTTTTGTTGTTTGCTTACAAATTATTATTTGAGTCTAGAGCGTCAAAGAACATATTAGTTTTGAATGCTATCCAAACACTTTGAGGCTATGTATTTAATTTCAAAGGAAGTCATTTTCTCTCCTATGACAGTTACTTCCATAGATTTATTTCAGAAAACTTCTTTTAAAAAACTATTTACCATTTTAAGGCTATGATCTTGTATTTTATTAACACCAAAATTGTTTCATAGAAATGTGGCATTATACTGGTATAGTGCAGTTACTTTGTCTTGTTCTGCCGTGTGTCTGTGTGTATGTATACACACACACCACACGCACAGTACAGATAGATAGATATAGATTTAGAATAATCATAGGTAATATCTTCTAATATACCTATTACCATGGTATCTAGAGTTTATGTATTAGAAAAGACCAATGGCAGAGGCAAAGTGGGGGTCAGTCCAGAGAAGTAAAGTGTGTGTGCATTGTCAGTTAGCTAAGAAGTTGATTTGGTATCCGTAGCAGCCGGGGGCAATGGTTGGAATTCTGACAGGGGTCAGTAACTGGAAGATCCAATCCAAGGGGCTTAGTTAGCAGGCTAGGGAGGTGAGGTAGAGTAAGGCAACATGTTAGGATTGTCAACTGTATACTGGCTCAAACCCAAATACCTCTTCCATAAGGGCCTACCCCATCATAACCCTTTTCTGAAGCCCTGCTGCCACTTGCTCCATCCCCTTCCCTCTGTCACTCACTCTCCCCACCCTCACTTTCACTGGGTTGAGGCAGGGAGTTGGGGTGCAGGCTCTGGGCTGGGGAGTCGAGAGTGTGGGAGAGACTCCAGGTTAAGGCAGGGGCGCATGAGGGAGTGTTGGCTCTGGGAGGGAGTTTGGGTGCAAGAAGGCACTCAGCACTAGAGCAGGGGAAAAATGAAGAAACATTAGATAATTTGGAAAAGTGTTATATGAAGATGAGTAATATAAAAACAGTGAAAGCTTCTTTATATTCCTATATCTGTTCTCCAAAGACCATTTTTAAGATGTTCAGTCTAAAATTCTTGAATCCAGGTCTCCAGCGGGTGAATAGTAAGAATTCTCTGATCATAAAGCTCTGCAACCATTAAATTGCATCACCAGCATGCAGTCCTTCTTCTGCTTCTAAGTCAGTGGTTCTTAAAGTGTGGGTCATGACGCAGTTTTAATGGGGTCTTCAGGGCTGGCTTAGACTTGCTGAATCCAAAGCCCATTTGAAGGCTTCAGCCCTGGATGGCACAGCTCAGGCTTTGGCTTCAGCACTGGCTTGCAAAGCTCAGGTTATAAGCTCTATGTCTGGGACTGAAACCCTCAAGATTTGGCTGTGCACCCTCTGCTAGGTCAGGAGGGCTTGGACTTTGATCCCTCCACTCAGAGCAATAGGCCTTGCGAGATGTGCTAGAGCTTAAACAGAAATTAAGTGCTTGGTATAGGAATAACTGGTTGAGGTTCAGTGTCCTGTGCTGCAAGAGCTCAGGCTGTATGGTCATATTTGTCCATTCTGGCTTTACAAATCTATGAATTTATTAAAACAAATCTGGGAAAGAGCTGAATTTTATTCTGAGTCTTCCAGTCACATTGTGGTTAGCATTAGCTTGCGTAGAAACAGAATGAATAGAATCAATTTATATAGTGAAGATGTTTTCACCTTGGTACCCAGTGTGGTGGGTGTAATAGAAGTTGATAAGTTGGTTAAATTAACTCTCTAAGAAGAATCCGTGAAAGATATCTTATTTCTTTTTGTTTCAGGTATTGGTGGTAATTTAGTAGCAATTCAAGCTAGCAGAATTTCTACCTACCTCCATTTACATAACATTCCTGGAGAGTTGCCTGAAGAAGCAAAGGGCTGCTATTACCCATGCAGAACCTATTATGGTACAGGTATGTGTTGGTGTTTCTTACTTGTTGCAGCTAGAGGGCAGGACACTTATTTCCTTCTGTAAACCAACTTGTATACCCAGGGTGTGTCTAGACTACAGGGTTTTTTTTTTTTTTTTTCGAAAAAAGTGGCTTGCTTTTTCGAAAGTACTGATTGTAGTCTAGACGCTCTTTTTCGAAAGTCTGGTTCCCCCTCCATTCCATAGTCTCCACCTTGGCCTTCCAGACTCGACTGTCTGGTCACCTCCTGGCTACTCAGTCTCTCCATACTGCAAGTTAAGCTGCTGCCTGTGATATGTGTAGGCAACAGCAGAGATTTCTCTGCATGCAGCACCAGGTACTCTGACATTCCTCTATAAGATGAGCTTTTCTGGTTTTCCATTTTTGCCACAAAAATCAACAAGGTTCTGTCCACTCCCTGAAATTTTGGAAATGATCAAATGTGATGTTCCAAAGTTATCACATTGTGCAGAGAACCAATGAAATGCCATCATGTTGAGTGTAGAGCCTCACTTTGCTTGACTAATAAAGAATTTCATTAATTCAAATGTAAATTCTGTAATATGTCAGCCTATTCTAGAGGAGTCTAATCATATAATGGCAGACTTGATTCTCCCAGATTCTTGTTTTGTTTCTTGACTATCTTCATCCTCTTTACTACTAATTGGAAAAAGTACTCTTCAGCTATCCAGTGCTATTTGAAAACCAGCAAATAGTGATGTAGCTGAAACTTTACCCAGATGCTGAGAACTTTTTATTCCTTGTTTGTCTACATCAGGGGTGGGGAACCTCAGGCCCAGGAGCTGGATGCGGTCACTCTTCTTACCTGGATGCAGCCCCTGAGGCTCAGCATTGGGGAGCCTGCATTGGTACTCCAGCCCCCTTGCCTCCCACCTGCAGTGCTGGAGCACACAAAATCTACTTAGCCTGGGCCCCCTGAGGCTCTGGTGTGCAAGTAGAATGTGGGAAGTATCTTTCTTCTCAGTCAGGGGTTTCTCACTTGTGTGCAGCCCTTAACTGATTTTTCTGTGGGTCAGCAGCCCCCAACCCAAAAAAGGTTCCCTACCTCTGACCTAAGTCATAATGGGTTTATTCCATCCATGTGATAATATTGTAATGGAAAGTTTCCAGACATTAGAATATAAGACTGGCCATACTGGGTCAGACCAAAGGTCCATACAAGTCCAATAGCCTGTCTTCCAACAGTGGCCAATGCCAGGTGCCCCAGACTGAATGAATAGTACATCAAGTGATCTATTCCCCCTTGCTCATTCCCACCTTCTGACAAACAGAGGCAAGGGACACCATTCCTGTCCATGCTGCCTAATAGTCATTGGTGGACTTATCCTCCATGAATTTAACTAGTTCTTTTCTGAACTCTGTTATAATCTTTGCATTCACAACATCTCTTACAAAGAGTTCCACATTTTGACTGTACGTTGTGTGAAGTCATGTTGTGGTCATCATGCCACACACTAATTGCTTTGACTTCCACAATTTTTCCTTACATTTAGAACAGAAGATACCTTTTGTTAATTCATGATAGCTTTTGAGGAGAATTGACTTTTCAGTCATTTCTGTTGCTTTTCGATATTTATTAAATGTTATTCTAACTAATAAATAAAATAATAAGTGAATGTGAAGTTGCTGACACAAAGCCTTCTGGGACTTGTGTAGAAGGTTAAGGTGACCAAAACTTCCTGTCTTCTGAGGGTATGTCTACACTGCGGGGATTTTCTGGGATAACGGCGGTATCCCGGAAACACCACTGCATCCAGGGAACGTGTTCGCTCTTCTTTTGGGGAGCCCTGTATTCCTCGTTCTATGGGGAATAAGGGCTCCTCCACAAGAAGAGGCTTTTCCACAATTTGGCTCCGTCTAAATGGGGTCTGAGGGGACCTTTTGCAATTCAAAGTGGGTGCAAGTGTACAAAGAAGGAACCCAGTCAGGGTTCAAGGGGATGGTCTGATTCAGAGCTGAACTTTATCAGCTTCTGCTGGTAGGAGTCGTGTTGTTCTCCAGTCAGACACTGCCTTTACTGTCGGTGGTGATTTTGGCCCACTTGAATGGAATTCATTTACAGAAAGTACCTTCTGTCCTAATTCAAGTACTTTCTCCTCTTCTATTATTGATTACAATATTTTCCAGCTTTCCAAGATCTAAACTGCATTTTGATTTTGTATTACAGGAGTAAATAATAAATCAGCCCAAGTTCTTCTCCTTTTGGTGATTCCTGGGCATCTGATTTTCTTGTACACCATACATTTAATGAAAAGTGGCCACACCTCTTTGACTCCAATTTTTATAGCAGTATATTTGTTTGCGGCTCTGCTACAGGTAAGAATAAAAATAGTTATAATATTTTTAGTTCTCAAAGAATGCCATGTTTGATACCTGCTTTTAGATATGTAGAGTAGAACAGTAGGACACGTGTCTGTTAGGAGTTATCAACAAACCCTTTATATAATTCATTATTCTTACACATACCTGACAGCTTCTACAACTGCATTATGGGTGTTTCTCAGTAGATATTTTGCTGTGTATCATTTTCCCAGTATATGTTGTACTTGTTCTCCGTTTCTCATGCGTCAGCATCGTTAAAGCCAGTCAACATCATATTAAACAATGGGAAAGGAATATGGTCTTTTTAAAAGAAAGCAGGCCAAGAAAAATTCCTAAGGAAGTCTCTCAACCTGGTTTCATTAAAATAAAATTAATCACAGTCTGGTTAACATAACTCATAAAAGGTAAGAATGTATACTTGTTTGCATCACTTAAAAGCTCATTGAAGGTGAAGTCAGTTTAGCCGTAATCAGAATAATAATTGTTAATTGCATCCGTTATTTGTATTAAACATTTTTGCATCACTTTTGCTGGATTTATCTAAGTCTCTTTAGCCCAAGCAATAGCAGCAGTTGATAGAAGCCTTGGAAATAGTCACAGGGTAAGCTGAAGTCGCTCCAAATAAAGAAATCAGTTTATACATTGGTTTATTCAGAGCCAAGTTTTAGTTAAAACTTTACAGAGTTGAATAAAACATTGTATTTTTTTAAAAAACATATTAAAAAGATGTATATATGACGTGTAAGTCTTACTTCTAAAAGTGCTATTATCAAGTTATCTTTAAAACTGTTACTAATGTCGTCATAGTCAACAAATCTCGTACATAAAATCCATATAATTCTGTGTTTATTGGACTGGTGTTGTTTCAGTATAATTGTAAATGGGTAAAAAAAAGACCTGGGTTGTTTATTTTAAATATACTTATTTTTTTGGATATGCTGAAGTCAGAAAGTGAATAATGAAAAGATGGATTTTGCAAACTGCTAGCATTTGAATTTCATATGAGAACCTCATCTTTTCACCTAGTATACATCTGGAAAACTCAAGGCCTTGAATGTAACTGTCTCATAGTAAAATTGTCCTGCTATTATTTTTAACTCATTTCCTTCATACTTCTTGTTCTTTCCCATTCTGTCACTTAGATTTGTTTAATTTCTCTTTCTCCATCCCCATTCATGGACTTACTTGATGCAGATTTCAGTCAAAGCATTGGATATGTTAAGAACTGCTGGAATTAATTGATTTTATATTTTTCTGTTATAATTCTTATAGTATTTGCTTAGTTGCTATCATTTCCCTCAGTTCTGAACTGGTCTGTAGAAAGTCTCAGATTTCTCTTGCTAACTTCAGATATTAAGAGGATGCAGGGCTTTTCAGAATAGCATGTTAGAAAAGGCTGGGCATCAGCACTAGTATACGTTTAAAGTAGATTTTCAAAAATGCAAGAAAATTTCAAGGCATAATTCACCTTTCACTTTTGCCAGTTTAACCTTATAAAAATATTCCACTACATTGGTGGTTTCTTTTCTCTTCTTTTATTCCCTTTTTGTTATACCAGATATAACAACATTTCTGTAGTGCTAGTATGTAGAATGGATCTGTATGGCTTTAATTAGCACATTTCACCTTTTCATATAAATGACTCTTATTTCCCCCTTCAGTTATGATTACATCTTCAATTATCTGTGCCACCTTAATCAGTTATGCTGGTGTTCTTTCTTATTGCCTATTGGGACCTTAAAAGAGTAGGGATCCCATGTAGTTGCACAGAGTTTTCTTCTTTTGTAACATTAAACCAATTTCCTTCTTGCCTTTCATTTTCCGCTCAGCACCATTGACATAAGCAAACACCTTGATAGTAAGAAGAATAGTTTGAAATTACAAACTCCATCCATTGCTGGCCTTTCTTTAGAGATGAAAACATTGATCTTTGCACTAATCGTGTTCTGATTCTTTTATTTTCCCTGGACTTTTATATTTTGTCTTCCTTCAGTGGTTAGCCTTTTAAAGTAATTAATTTTTTGCCTACATAGTAAGAACTGGAAAATCCCACAGCTAATTACTGTCATTTCAGTTATCACCCAAATGAATTTTGAACAATGAAAAATCTGCAGGCTAACTTTAGTCCCTGCTCAATTACAAAACGTGTAGTTGGTTTCACTTTGTGTTGAAACAATCAATATACATCTTGCTTTATGAAAGACATACATTTTTAGTCTAACAGTGCTTTTTAAAAAATCTGAAGTAGCAAATGAATATCTGTAGACAGCCAGAACACAATAATACCCAAAGGCAATGATCAGTTATTGCCAGTCTAAACTAAGCAGGTTTGATCTCTTATTGCTTGTATTCATTAGATTTGTTTGGGGCAAAAATCTGTTGTTGAATATTAGCATTTTCTTTTTGCTATCATGGCCATATACTGAATCTATTTATAGTCTCTCTGGTGTATTAAAAATCTGAATAATAAAAGAAAATGGATGACTTTTCTAGTCCTAAAAACCTCTTGACATTTTCAAGATGATTATAAAGGAGAATAGTGCTTTGTGGTGGGAACTGCCTGTTTAATATAATTAATCTCCCCATAGCAACACTGCTGTATCTTCCACTGAGATGCCCCCCAACAGTGCCCCATCAAACTGTCTTTATTCTTCTTCACCATTGGGATGTCTCTCTTTCTATTTATTGTTCCTCCCTCTTTAGGTGTGATTCAAAGTCCAAACAGTCAATGGGTTGCATTAAATTGAGTGGATTTTGGAGGATTTCCACTGTTTGTCATCTTTCCCTGTCCCGACCTCATGTTGTTAATTTTGACTTCATCGCTTTCTTTCTTCCTGATTTCTGATACCTTTATGCTGTTTTCCACCGTCTACTTTATTCAGTCCACTTCATAGGTCTCTGCTACTTAGAATCATAGAATCATAGAATAATAGGACTGGAAGGGACCTCGAGAGGTCATTGAGTCCAGCCCCCCGCCCTCAAGGCAGGACCAAGCTCCGTCTACACCATCCCTGACAGATGTCTGTCTAACCTGTTCTTAAATATCTCCAGAGAGGGAGATTCCACCACCTCCCTTGGCAATTTATTCCAATATTTGACCACCCTGACAGTTAGGAATTTTTTCCTAATGTCCAATCTAAACCTCCCCTGCTGCACTTTAAGCCCATTACTCCTTGTCCTGTCCTCAGAAACCAAGAGAAACAAATTTTCTCCTTCCTCCTTGTGACACCCTTTTAGATATTTGAAAACCACTATCATGTCCCCCCTTAATCTTCGTTTTTCCAAACTAAACAAGCCCAGTTCACGAAGCCTGGCTTCATAGGTCATGTTCTCTAAACCTTTAATCATTCTTGTCACTCTTCTCTGTACCCTTTCCAATTTCTCCACATCTTTCTTGAAATGTGGCGCCCAGAACTGGACACAGTACTCCAGCTGAGGCCTAACTAGTGCAGAATAGAGCGGCAGAATGACTTCACGAGTTTTGCTTACAACACACCTGTTGATACAACCTAGAATCATATTTGCTTTTTTGGCAACAGCATCACACTGTTGACTCATATTCAACTTGTGGTCCACTATGACCCCTAGATCCCTTTCCGCCATGCTCCTTCCTAGACAGTCGCTTCCCATCTTGTATGTATGGAACTGATTGTTCCTTCCTAAGTGGAGCACTCTGCATTTCTCCTTATTAAACCTCATCCTGTTTACCTCTGACCATTTCTCTAACTTGCTAAGGTCATTCTGAATTATGTCCCTATCCTCCAAAGAAGTTGCAACCCCACCCAGTTTGGTATCATCTGCAAACTTAATAAGAGTACTCTCTATCCCAATATCTACATCATTGATGAAGACCTCTCTGTGTAGTATAGTTAAAAACATTTTGTGAATGGAGTCATTATGGTATGTTTACATAAATGTACACGAATATTTATTTTGATTTAGTTATTACTAATCAATTATACGCTATGTGCAATAACAGAAAAACATATAGAAAGTCACTGAATCTACAGTGAGTTTTAAACTTAACCTTTGACCTCTTTTTAAATACTGATTTTGATTGTTGAACTAATCAGTATTATGGACTAATGGCCATTTTTAAAAACAAAGCTGTTTTGATTTTCAAAAGATGAGAAAAAATCAGCAAACAACTTTTTTTGTTCCTCTGTTAATGTACTGCTTCATTTACACTAAAAAATTAATTGGATCTGTTGCTTGAAAGTGTAGCTCTGGTGAATTCAATGGCAACAGTAATGTCAATGGGATCAGTATTTTAATCATTTTATTTACCTTACAACTGAGAAAAAGTATACCAACTTTCATGCAGGGATATTTCTTTAAGTGTAAAACTTCTGAAATGTTTTTATAATATGTCTGGCACATACTGACCCAAGCACCATTTGCAGGAAACACAAATTAAGTACTATAATAATGTTTACATGATGTACAAATATATATTGAAACCTGTTCACTACTTCATTGTATGAAATATGCAAATAGTACAGCATATATTGTCTGTGCAAACAATTCTATATTGCTGAAAATCAGACATGACAGAAGATTGATTTAAACGTTACTTGGGTTAGGTGTGTTTTGTACTCTTAAACATTTGTTTTCAGAAAACTGTTCAAAGCCAAGCTTTTGATACCTTGTGCATGAAGATACAGTCTGGCAATGGGTCAGCAATATATATATGATTGAATAGCCTTGGGGCATGCACAAGAGGGGGCAAGAAGGGGCACAATCCTCCCTTCCCCAATAATCAGCATAAGGCTCAGGTTGCATGGATTTTCATTGAAATGGGGAATGCATTGCTGTTCACTTCTATGCATATAATGTATGCTCGTGTGTTGATAAGGTTTAATGTGTGTGTTTAACACCCCCTTCCAAAAGTGATAACATTTAAATTCGTGCATATGCCCCTGGAATAACCATAGGATTGTAGGGTTTTTTTGGTTTGGTTTTGTTTTTTGTTCTTTGTTTTTGTTTTTTGAGAC